GCCAAGAAGGTGAGCAAACATATTAAGAACAGTATGCCATATACGCCAGGTCCCTTGAAACATATGCTGTGCAGATGTTTCTTCCCTGCAGCAACTGTGTCAAGCAGCAAGGATGGACTGGCTTCCAGCATGAAGAGGCTTGGCTTCTCTGCTGTGGCCAGACCAAAGGCCTAGGTCCTGGGTGCCGGAGGAAAACCAGTAATGGCAGCCAGGGGAAGGAAGGCCTATTGCGCGATTTCGCGAATCTTCATGCAACAGGCTTCTAGTTTATACATAATAACTAAAGCCTAGGAAGAACTTAAAGGTTACCACAGGAGAATTAATAGCATATTATGATCTATTTGTACAATAGAATACAAGTTAATAATAAAACTGAATGTATTGCTGGAAAAATACAAAAACTTGTATGAATATCACAAACACGTTGAGCAAAGGAAGGTAGAAACAAAAGTGCATACTTTATTATTTCATTTTTATGAATTTTTATAGCTGTCAAACAAATATGTTGATAAAAATCAGATCACTGTTTTCCTATGGTAGGGGCACAAGAGGATGGTAATAATGTAAATGTTCCTTATATTGATTGACATGGTGGTTACAGGTTTGTATACATTTCTCTAAATCATTAAGTTGTACTCTGAAAATGTTAGCATTTTACTCTGTGTAAATTAAACATCAATGAAGTTTGGTCACTAAAAATAATATCGTTTCTTACATCAGTCAAGATTCAATCGGGCTTAAATAATTAGCAATTCTATTAGCTTTCATCATTAAAAATGCAGAGTAGAATGTATTTCAAGAATAGTTGACTCAGTTGCTCAACAACACCCTTAAGGAACCAGGTTATTTCCCTTGGTCTACTTTGGTATTTACGGTGTTCCTGTCATCCTAAGGCAAGTTCCCATCATGATCACAGCATGACTATCAGTAGCAAGGAGAACTACATACTTCTCTGTTCATACTCTTGGGAGAAGGGAGATAGGTTCCATAATTTCTCTGAGGAAAAGGAGAAGTATAATTGCAATTTGTGCCTATGATTAAACAAACCACTAGGTTGTTATTTTGACCGCCTTGGATTGATTAATCAGTATTCACCCAGGGAGCTGAAAATGAGGTTAACATCCCAAGGCACCTGGGATGCATGAGGAAAGTGACTCTATAACAACACTGAAGTGGGAATTTGGGATTTTCTCTCTGTTTCTGGGCTATATGGTTTTCTCTGAGCTACTTTGTAGCAAGTTGAGAGTTTTGAGTATCACCTTCTGCTTGAACTCTTTGGGGATGGAATCCAGGAGGAACTTCAGCTGTGACTAGACTTCCAATGGACTCACCAGAGAAGCTTAACCCATCCTCAACCGGGAGTTTTCTCAGATGCCCAGGGAAGAAGATTCAGCTAGCACTCAAGCTGTCTCAGAAGTACTAGCAAAGAATCCTAGTAACTTGACTCTCAACCCTAGTACCAAATTCCCTTCCCTTCCACCAAAAAGTTCACCCCAACAACAAAACAGACGCAGAAACTTAAAGGGATCTGGACTGGGGCTGACTCAAGGCCTGCTCTCCATGAGGAGGCGTGGAGCGAGGACAGTGGCAAGTGTTAGGAAAGAAAGTATGTGAGAAAGGATGTGAACAATGACTGAAGTTATGACATATCACACCAAGTTTCTGATTCAATCAGAAGGCCCAAAGTTTAGATGTAGCTGTAGTTATTGCCTATTACATGGAGATTCTTCTGATGATATTATCATTGAGAATATCAACATGGAGTAGATTTAGATAAAAACCTTATTCTTGTACTTATTTGAGTTGTAACAAATTTTTGATGTGCTATTTCAATTTTTAGTAGCAAATGTGTGTATAGCATATATTATTAAGATTTGAGCATCTCTGAGAAAGTAAATAAATAAAATAAACAACACTGAAGTTTTGCTTGCAAGGAAGAAGGGATAAATAAAGAACAATATGCACCAAAGTCATAATTATAAAATACCATTTGCAACTATTTTAACTTATAGAACATTTCATTTTGTGGACAGAATATGATTAATCAAATCCTTATAATGAACATTTGATTTAACAGTTGAATTGTCACATTGTTTCTTCCATCCTGGAGTCATTAAATTTATCTTCGACAAAGTGTGCAGATTCGATGATTTCCATATTGGTAAAAACAGAACTGTTAATGTTTTGGTATTGAGATCATGTACAAAAATTAATATTATGCCAGCCTTAAAGAGTTGTCAGGTGTCAGAAGATTCCCACCCTTAGAGAAACCATTCAGGTTGATCATTTTAATCCCAGTGAGAACAGAATCTTCCCAGTACTGGACATTCCAGAGTTTCTGCCTCTTCCATTTACTAAGTGGCAGTTTGACCTAAAGAGCTTGGAGCATTGGTAGACTTATTTATTTATATGTGCATTTTTCTACAATAGTTATCTCAAAATAATTTTTTCTTGTACATCCTTAATAGTAGAAAAATTACTATATGAATACTTAATATTGGATGTGTATTTAAGAACCACACTTATGCCTAGCTGTTGTGGCTCAGTGGTTGAGCGTTGACCTATGAACCAGGAGGTTAGGTCTTGATTCCAGTCAAGGGCACATGCCGGGGTTGTGGGCTCGATCCCCGGTAGGGGGCATGCATGGGGCAGCTGATCAATGATTCCCTCTCATCACAGATGCTTCTCTCTCTCTCTCTCTCTCTCTCTCTCTCTCTCTCTCTCTCCCTTCCTCTCTGAAATCAATAGAAAAATATTTAGAGAACTAGGCTGGAGAATCTGGCTGGAGAACCTGGCTAGGCTGCTGATCAACTGAACGCTGTCTCCGGGTCATTCCTTCATTCTTCGCCAACTCCGTCCACACATTTGGGAACCCCTGGACCTGCTGGGGTTCCCCAACACTAAAACACTCAGGAAAACATAAAAACGCAAGCACCCGGAAGTGGAGATATTCTCTTTAAGTATAAATAGATTACAAGATCCAATTAAGGGCAGGGCGCCCTAGAGCCCCTTGGGGTGGGGCGGTGGGTGGCGAGTACCTACCAGGTATTTAAGGCGGCACTCCAGGGCGGCTTGTTAGAGCTTCAAGCGAAGAGGGCCCAGTAGCATTCAGGATGCAAGAACCCGGGTTTCCCACCGGCTCCTCGCTGTCCCCAAGCGCCCCGAGGAAGAGGACGCGGCGGCGGCGCACGGTGTTCAGCACACAACAGCTGCGGGTCCTGGAGGAATTCTTTGAGAGGAAACGCTACGGGACCTATGAGGAACGCGAGACCCTGGCGACCAGGCTGAACCTGCAGGAGAACCGAGTGCAGGTGTGGCTCAAGAACCGCAGGGCCAAAGACTGCAGGCTGCAGCGACTGCGAGGGCATCCCGGTGAGAGAGCCCACGCTGGGCCCCAGAAACTGGGAGTCTGGGCCCCTCAGGCTGCTCCTGAGCCTGCGGGCCCTGTGTATCAGGAGGACCCTGTGCTGCCGGCCAGCTCTGTGCTTCCTGCCAGCCCTGTGCTGCCGGCCACAGCAGCCAGGATGCAAGAACCCGGGTTTCCCACCGGCTCCTCGCTGTCCCCAAGCGCCCCGAGGAAGAGGACGCGGCGGCGGCGCACGGTGTTCAGCACACAACAGCTGCGGGTCCTGGAGGAATTCTTTGAGAGGAAACGCTACGGGACCTATGAGGAACGCGAGACCCTGGCGACCAGGCTGAAGTTGCAGGAGTGCCAAGTGCAGGCATGGCTCCAGAACCGCAGGGACAGAGACCACAGGCTGCAGCGACTTCGAGAGCATCCAGGTGAGAGAGCACACGCTGCGCTCCAGGAACAGGGAGTCTGCGCCCCGCAGGCTGCTCCTGCGGTCCCTGCGTCCCAGGAGGACCCTGTGCTCCCCGCCGGCCCTGTGTTCCCAGCCGGCCGTGTGCTCCTGCTCCTCGATGGCCCTGTTCTCCCTGCCGCCACACTGCACCACGGGGGCCCAGGTTTCTGCAGGCTCCCTCAGCACAGACCCTTGCAAGTCTTCCCAGCAGCAGATCCCAGTGCTTTTCGTTGCCTGTTACTTATCTGTTTGTTCCTTCTATCTATGGCAAACGGATGCTGTCAAACCTAATGAATTTATTAATAAGAGTTAAAAATGGAAAAAAAATATTTAAAACTAAAGAACCACACCTATCATGTAATATAACAAACCTACTATACAAAGATATGAATTAAATTATATAAAAACTAAACACTTTAATATTGCACTTTATTTATTGATAGTACAATTAATCTACTCTCGGTATTAAAATGTTACTAATCTTTTCAGAGGCAGCAGTATAAATGTGTAAATGCGTTTCATTATTTCACAGAATCTTAGTTCAAACCTGCAATATAGTTCAAGGTGTCTCAGTTATATATTGTTGAATAACAAACCACCCCAAAATTTATTGTCTATAAACTATTTTGTTATCTTTCACAATTCTGTCCATTGATTGGGACTCAGCTAGATGCTTCTTCACTTAAATGTCACGCTTTAACACAAATCTTACATAAAAGCTACTGCACACAATCTTTATTTAATAGTGTTTTAGGGAAAATTAAAGAAAATACACTTAACCACATTCATACAATGTAACATGGAGGAAGGAGAAAAGTTCCAGCACTGAATTATATTATCATTCTCCACTTCATTTCAGGTCAAGCATACTTTCTACTCTGACAATGAAAGGCATTTAGTAAAATAATTGCTTTTTATTTACCCTCCCTACATTCCATCCCCGTATTATTGGAATAATAATGGGGAAAAGCTTATTGTAAATAAAGTTTCCCCAGAATTTTCCCAGAATTGTGATAGAAGTTGCTTTCTGGGAAGTAAACTGGTAAATTCTACATATAATGTATAAAATCAGGCCAGTATAAAAATAACTCATCTGGGGGGGGGAGGGGGGAGAATGGCGGAGATATAGACGGATGTGTCCCATGCCTTGTCCCAGAGCAGATAGGGTGAGCAGCAGAAGCGGGTAACATACAGCCCGAATAAGCAGAGGATATTCAGCTGAGAGACAGTTTGCAGCCGGGAAAGGCAGAGGACTCCCAGAGAAAGGGGACAGTTGGAGACTGCGGCTGGAAACTCTCCCAGAGCACAGGCTCAGCCGCGGAGACCACGCCATCTTGAGTGGCTGTTATTGGTAGCATATACATCCAAAGACCCGGCATCCAGAGATCGGCAGCTAACCCAGAAACACCAGATCTTGGACAGCGCGACTACGTGGAGCCCTGTTTCTCCTCACGGAAAGGTCAGATTGTGCCTGAAGGTGCGGTTTGCAATTCAGGTTGGGAAGAGGAATGTGCGCAGGGAGGTCTGCGCCCCACAAAGTCCGCAGTCTTTGGTGCCAGCGTGATCTGCGAGTGTGGAAGGGCTCCCACAGGGCTGCTGACAGAAGGGAATGCTAAAAATAAGCCCATAGCTGGACTGGATGCAAAAAGGCAACCTTGGATTTTGCCAGTGTGCCAGCTGCTGCCAGGGGAGGGAAGGCGCACAGAGGAGACTGCGCACAGAACTGGAAGGTGGAGGGTTGCGAATTCGCGCAACTTCTCAGGCTCTTGTTTTTTTCTCTTCCCCTTAAATCTTTGTGTTTGATTATTAAACTCAGTGCATGGGATTGCCCAGTTGGGGACATTCGCAGAGACTGCAGGGGAAAATTATTTCTGTGGAACCTGGGAAACAGAGCGAGGAGGAATGATTAAAGAACCAGCTCTGGGCAGTGGACTTTCCCAAACCAGTTTTAAGTACAATAGAGAAAATAAACCCTAACTACTGGATAGAGAGGACTTATAGCCTCGGAGGTCAATCCAGACGCACTGCCACCCAGAGGCAGAGCCACGAACTGACTCTTCTGTAAACACAAATAAAGGCAGTCTGGGAAACAAATACGGCCTGCTTTAAAATCAGGACTGTGGTTTACAACACAAGGAACAGTGTATCGCAGGGAAATTCAACACTCTCCTGAATACCTAGCAGGACTAAGGCGATCCAGACTGAAGAGTAGAAGAACTGAAGGACCTTCACTACTGCACATTTTTTAAAATTATTTTTTCACCTTTTAATTAAGAAACCAATTTTTTTTCTTTTTTCATCACCTGATTTTACCCTTTTAATTACTACATTTTTATTTTTAACCATTATTATTACTACTACCATTTTATCATTTTTTAAAGTGTCATTTTATTTTCTCTTTATTTTATTTTGGGATTAGTGTTCTACATTATTTTCATCCTTCTTTTAGCATCATTTTTCTCTGCCTCAACTTTACCTTTATGCCAAAACTGTCTTCCTCACTTTTCCCCTTTTGTTGTCCTGTTTCTCTTACCC